ACCGCTCCCCACCATTGTGTCCCCTGTGCCGTGTTCCCCACGGATTTTAACCCAGAGGGTCTCCAGCCATCCACCCTGGTTGCCAATATCGGCATGCAGGGACGTGTAGCTTTCCTTAACATAGAGAGCTACCCCCCCGCCCCTTTTCTCTACACGATCCCTTCTGTACAGGGTATAGCCATCTATCCCCGTGGTCCAGTCATGGGTGGAGTCCCACCAGGTCTCCGTTATCCCTATGACATCATAATTGTTTGCACTGAGAATGAGGATGAGCTCCTCCTGCTTATTCCCCAAGCTCCTGGCATTAGTGTACAGGCAGGCAAGTGCCTCCTGGGGGGCTCCTTCCTTGCACACAGATTTTACCAGGGCTGGGGCAGGGGTGGGCTCCCTGAAGCGCCGTGATCTGCTGGCTTTGCAAGGATTGCTCAGCGGGCCAGCAGTGGCGGTAGTACCCCCGTTCCCCCAACGGGCTTCGTTTAAAGCCCGGTGGAGCAGGTCAGCCAGTCTGGCTGAGAAGAGCCTCCTCCCTAGGGGAGAGAGGTGGAGGCCATCTCTTCCCAGCAGCTCGCTGCCTCTCTCGCCCAAGAGCGGGCCAAAGCCTTCCCGACGACACCAGCGCTGCAGTCTTTGGTTGACCACATAGATCCTCCTGTCCCTTCTCAGCCCATAGCCTGAGACTGGGAGGATCGACGAGAACACTACCTGTGCCCCCAGACCCTTAAGCCCCTTGTTGGTGCACCTCACTCCTGATCTGTTGCCCCCAGCCCCCCAGTGCATAAGGAGGGAGTGGGTACAGGCAGTGTGGTGGGGTGTGGGCACGTGCTGCCCAATTTCTGCGCCCACAGCAGGGCATAGAGTGCAGGGCTGCAGCCTGACCATACCAGCTCTGGGCAGGAGCCACCTATGCAGCCCAGCAAGTGGGACCCAGCGTGGGAGAGAGCACCTCACTGCCAAGATGAGGCCCCCTGCCTCCCCAGCAGCAGCAGGGGGCACAAGTCTCTGCCACTGCTGCTGTTGTGCCTCACCTTGGCAGCCATGGGACTGCATCACTCCCTCTCGCTCTGGGACCCGCCTGCTGGGCTGTGGAGGGAGGCACCTTCTGCCCAGAGTTGGTCTGGCCCAGCTGAAGCCCTGTCCCTCCGCCCCTGCATCACCTGTACATTTCCCCCACGACTGTTGCCTGTGCCCCCGTAGACATACCTGGCAGGAGATGCTCTCTACCACACTGACTAACTGATGCATGCATTTCTATGCGCACACATGCACGTGACACCCTGTGTCTTGCTTCCCACAGCCCCTTGCAGGCTGGAACTGTGCCAGCCTGTGAAGGAAACCCATGGCTTCCCAGGGTTTTCCCAAAGCTCTTGGAACCAAAAGTTCTTGCCATCAGATCTTGGAATATGTACCAGACTAACTGAGGCATGAATGTAATGAAATGTGATGGATTAGGATAATCTTTACAGAAAGAAAAGTTGATAATAGAGGAACACATCAAACTGGTGGGCTAAGAAAGGTAAATTTGATTGGTATCGTGTATTGTCTTTAAATACAAGAACACAGAATTATTCAGTTAAATTTAAAAGGCTACAAATTGAAAGCTGCCAAAAGGTAACTAACCCATACGGCTAACAGCCACAGGATACAATTAAAGCCTAGAATTCAGTGGGTTTCAAAAAATGGATTAATCATTTTATAATGAGAGGATGTTAGGGATATAAATCCACATGATTCAGATCAAAAGCCAACTGGACTATCCATTGCATAACTGTCTATTGTATAGCTTTTTGGCACCTTTCTCGGTGGCACCTGGTACAAGATGCTGACTAACGGGATACTGACCTAAATTTTCAACTCATTTAATCTGGAATTACTAAATTTAAAGTAGGCAGAAAGCATGTTCAATATTCCAGAAAGTTGACATTTTTTTTTTTCTCTCCTAGGATTTTAACAGACACTTGGATACTCTGACTGAACACTATGACATCCCCAAAGTCAGCTGGACTAAATGAATAGCTTTTCTTACTCAGCTCTGGATTATGAGAAGCATTTATATTAGGAGGATATGCTTAGCATAAATTTCTGTGATCTCTGCATTGGATACCTAATTCATTTTTTTTTTTAAACTTTTGCATGCTGGCAGTACTCTTTAAGTGCTTGTTTAGAAGTATGTACAGCACACCCCCACCTTTACTGAACAATGAATAAAGGCCCTAATCCTCCATTTATCTGCAGAAGTCCCCTTTTTTAGAGTTTGTAGGAAAACTTCTGGAGAAATTTCATATGTAGGGTGTAACGATCACTGGTTGACAGAGCCTTCTTTTGAAACAAATGTTTTTGACAGTCTGATTTTAGATGCAGACAAGTTACCTTATTGAATTGTTCCTCCCTGGGTACTATAAACCTCTCTGTAATCTGTTTATAACTTTTCTAGAAACTCTAGAAGGTCAAATAAAAACTGCATTTAAAATAATTTTAAAAAAATGTACCTGGTGCAGGGGCTGAGGGGATCTTGACAGCACATTTCCCCTGAGCTAGGCTGTACCTGCTAGCCTGTGTTCGCCGTCTTTAGCGGAACCATAAATGCAGCTCTGAGCACCCTGTAAACCCACGTTGGGGTTGTTTCCTCTCACGTGAACGGTGCCCCTTTCTGAGCCCCCAGATCCTGCTGTGCACTTTGACTTCTTCGCTGGCCCCCGAGCTCGTGTACAGCACGTGTAAGACGTGGCACAGAAGAAGCGGCAGTGGGAATTCAGTTACTGCTCTCGGCTGTCTGCTGCCAGTGTGGGCAGGGCCCGCCCGCGGCTCAGCACAACGCAGCGCGGCTTTCTGAGGACAACTGAGCACCGGAGCGGAAAGCTCTGACCCGGCACCGCCCCCGCCGGCCGGCCCAGCACCTCACAGCGACGG